CGCGGTGGTAGCGTCCACAGGCGGAGAAGCTAGTGTGGAGCCGAGGTTAAACAATGCAGATGGTCCTATGCCTGACGCAGCAGGGGAAACTAGACTACACTCAGTGGACACACCTACACTAGGCAACATCGGGTAATAGGGTCGATTCACACTAGAGTCATCAGCTTACAGAACATACATAGCAGTCCTAATTTGATCCACTTCAAGCTCAAAGACAAGCACACGGTGGTGCGCCAGAGTGTACCAGTCCGGGGGGTCCGACGTGAGACCAAAGCGGAGACGGAAGAGGTTGTCGAGGCGGCGGTGTGACCGGGACGGTCGCAAACGGTGCCGCGGCGGGGGGCAATCTGAAGCCGGTACTGGCAGGTGACCACACTGGAGCTGCCACCCGGCACCGAGCTGTGCGGCGCACCACCACGACCACCGCCACTAGCGCCACCAGTCCACCACGGCGAAGGGGGTACCCACGGTAGCTGCAGCTGTTGCTGTGACTGCTGCTCTTGAGGTGGCTGCTACTACTGCTGCTGCTGCTGCTGCTCCTCCAAGGCACCAGCCCCGCTCCCCTCATCTGCACCACCGTCCCTTCCCCCACCTCCACCACCCCCACGACCCTTAGCGAGACGCTGCTGTGCTGAGGCCGCAGTGGTGATCTCAGCAGCAGGGGCTGTCTTAGCAACAGCGGCAGAAACGTCAGAGTAAGTGCACTGGGAGGGAGCACAACTGTGGAAGATAGGGACCGGTGCAGTACCGCTAGACTCAGCGATAGTGCGCTGGCGGGTCTCTATCGCGGACAGGGCGGTGACAAAGGCAGTGAGGGTGAGATCACCTAGGTGCTGACTAAGGGAGTGGTCACGAGCAGTGGCTAGGCGGTTAGGCAGGTATGTGGCAATGAGGTAAAGAGTAGCGCATGGCGGCGGCGGGAAGGCTGTGAGCTGTGCCTCAGTGCTAGCTATGTGGTAGCTATTCTCCAGTGCGCGGAGGTGAGTGGCAAGGTCAGCGACAGTGGGGAAGTACGCAAGGTCAGGGAACAACATGGGGAGGATTTGGCGGCTAGCAAAGGCTGAGGCGGGGGTGAAATAGCGCACGATGGAGGCATCTAAGTATTCCTTGGCGTTTGAGACAGCGGTAAAGCGGGGGCGCGCAGAGAGGTGTAGGGCGTGACTAATGGCAAGCTGAGCAACGGCATCGTGCAATTTCCAAACAGCGTAGGCGAGCTCAGTAGCGACAAAAGCCTCACGCTCATCAGACGTGGGGGCGTCAGGGAGAGCAGCAAACGGGGCGGGGCGAGGGAGCTTACTGTCAACATGGATGGCCAGGGAGTGGCCGTCATGGCGCTGCCTTATCAGCTGGCGGCGGAGGTCGACGAGCCTCGCCTCAAACTCAACAGCCCGACCCTCCGCGTCCAGGCGGAGCTGGGATTCTGTCACCACCACGGCTGCAGCAGCTACTTGCCAGGAGGAGAGAAAGCAGAGGAGGGCAATGGAAAGCGGTGGAGTATGGTGAAGTGCAGTGGAGTGCGGTGGGGAGCGATGGAGTGCAGTGGAGAGTGGTGGAGACAAGGCCGGCGGGATGGGGAGTGGTGGCTGGCGGCTACGGGCGTCTAGCGGCGTCTAGCGGCGTCGGGCGGGCGGCTACAGGTGGGCCAGCGGCTACGGGCGGGCCGCAACGAGCGGCGAGCGGCTACTAGCGGCTGGCGGCTACTAGCGGTTGGCGGCTACAGGAGACCAGCGGCTATGGGCGGCTGGCGGCAGCGGGCGGCCTGCGGCAACAAGCGGCTGGCGGCAACGGGTGCTTGGCAGCTACGGGCGGCTGGCGGCTACAAGCGGCCAGCGGCTACGGGCGGCTGGCGGCAGCGGGCGGCCAGCGGCAACGGGCGGCCAGTGGAGACAGGCGGGCTGGCGGCGACGGGCGGCCAGCGGCGACAGTTGGCCAGCGGCGGCGGGCGGCTGGCGGCTACAGGCGGTGACAGGTGGCCAGCGAGCTACGGGCAGTTGGCGGCTACGAGCGGTAACGACGGGCGGCGGGCAGCTGGTGGCTAAGGGCGGCCAGCGGACTAGTGGTTACGGGCTGCTGGCGGCTATGGACAGCTGGCGGCGACGGGCGGCAGCGACGGGCAGCAGGCATTTGGTGGCTAAGTGCGGCCAGCAGGCTGGCGGCTACGAGCGTCCGGCGGCGGTAGGCGGCCAGTGGGCTGCTATCGACCGGCGTCAGGCAGCCGGCGGCTACGGGCGACGGGCGGCTAGCGACGCGTAGCTAGGAACGGGCGGCTAACGACGGGCGGCTTGGGTTAGGGCTAGGACGAGGGCAGAAGCACGGGTGGGCGGGATCCTAACCTAGCATGATACCATCTCAGAGTAAAAAGTTGACTAGAATGACGGGGTACAGGGGAATATAGCCTAAGGTGTTGTACTCTAACATATACAACATATACAGTATATTCACATCCACAACCAGGACGGTACATCAGGTTGCGCTTCCAAATCAAAAAAATTGCACAAGCATCACGCGATATTCCAATACCCTATAACCATTTCGCCAAAACAACACCTTTCTCGCAACGGAACCCACCACCGGGGTTCGTCGAAGTCTGTGACATGCTTCTTTATGGTGCATCCCCAGTTGGTTTCGTGCAGCCAAAATTTTGGACTGGGCAGCATAGCACCCGGGTGGGTTGCCCAACTCGGGTTGCGGTTTTGTGCGTATGCACAAAACACGGTGGGTTGCGCAACCCATTCACCGTTGTCGCAAATTGACTATGCGAGGTTTGGCGAATGTGTAACCCGGGTGGGTTGCGCAACCCATGTTCCATGCCCTGACCCCCGTTGTGCCTCCACCAGTCACGGAGCAGCCTCAAACCTTGGGGCAGCATCCGAGCCAGGCGCGCTCTCAGACCCAGACTCACCTCCCGATCTAGGGGCGCCGCTAGCCACCGCCTCTGCCTCATCCGCTGCATCTTCGGCGGCCTCTGCAGCCGCAGCCTTCTCTGCCACTATCCTGTCCGCCTCCGCCCTGCGAGCCTGCGCGGCCTTCAGCGCCGCCCTCAGCTTCGTCAGCCTCACTGCCGCGGTTTTTGCCACCTTTTCTACCACTTTCGCTGCGTCCTCCGCCGCCTTGGCGTCCGCCTCCGCCTCCGCCTTCACCGCGCCCGCCTCCGCCGCAACCGCTTTGTCCAGCAGCGCGTGATACTCCGGAGTGAGGGTCACTTTGAGCTTCCGCGCAGCCTCCGCCGCGGCCTTGGCCGCCTCCGCATTGGCAACTGATTCTTCCACGGATGCGCTCTGCGCGCCCTTCGCCAGCTCCGCCTCCTTTTTCTGTTTCGCCTTTGCCTTCGCCTCTGTCGCCTTCACCGCCCTTGCCCTTGCTCTTGGCGCCGTCCGCAGCGGCCTTAGTCGAGTTGTCGGTGGTCTTTTGTTGCGCGCCTGCCGCCGACACAGCCTTGTCTTCCTTCGCCTTCGCTTGGGCGGACTTCTCCAGCACCTTTTGCGCCTTCTGGTACTTATCGGCGGCTTTCGCCTTCTTCTTCAGCTCCGTGGTCGCCTACCTCGTGTCCGACGCGTCCTTTCGTGCCTGCTTCGCAATGGCCTGTGCCGCGCTTGCCGCTGCATTTGCCGCCTACCAATCCGTTGCCGCCTTCACCGCCGTGGTCTCCGCTGTCGCCACGTTGGCGGCGGCAGTTGCTTCTTCAGTGGCAACTTCCTCGACTACGTCCAGATCAGCAGCAGTCTGATCAGCGGCCGCTCTCAGGCGAATCATGATCTCTTCTAGGGTTTCCTGTGTCTCAGCTAGACGAATACGTATTGACTCTATACTACGAGGCCCACTCAACAAGAAGAAAAGCGCAAGAACCGAAAGGGTTAAAATGAGGCTTGATCGTGCCATGGCTGTGGGTGGGAAATTTGAGGTGGGTGAATGTGCTGAAAGAAAGGTTCGAAAAGAGATGTGTGTGATCCACTGTGTACTTGTGCGAGGAATTATGCGAAGGGGGGTATTTGTACTTCGAGAACTCGTGGGGTTTCGTAGCATCTGGCGACGATTTACCCACAGACCACAGTTTCGCTTGTTGCCAGTTCAGCCTTCACGCGTTTCGCAAATCGCGAACCCACCAACCAGCAATTTCTTTGGGCGCACTGCCAGAATGTGAAGAAATCGGTTGCTGCTCGAAGATTTACTTCATAAATGTGGATTTTGGCGAATCGATAATGGGAGGGATGTCCTTATTAGCTACGCGCCCAATGGTGGCTCATTTTCCACGTGGAATACTGGATGACAGGCTGGCAACACCCAAACCAATAATTGCGTTGCGGTTGCGCTGCGGTCTGCATGGCTGCGGTAATACGGGTATTACGCGTATACCACTTGAGAAGGAAAACATTGAAAGAGTGGTAAACCTCAGAAAGTTGCATTATGCTTAGTAACGCAATTATGTTATGTAAATTGTAGAGAAAAATAATATATCACGTAGGAGAGGTAGGAGCCCTGAGTAACACCATGGTGCCTACTTGAAGTTGGTGAGGTAGGAGCATATCAACTCGTTGTTCGAAGTGTAGTCGAATCCTACTTCAGCATTTTGACTCCACATGCAAGGGGGATAGGTCGTTGGGACCAGTGGTCAGCCGCCCAATTATAGAAAGTGGTGCCTAATTCTCGTTGGCTCAGCCTGAACACGTGGATCCTACAGGTTTGATGTTCTACGCTGCCATGGGCAAGACACCCATATCCAGTCCACGTGAGCTCCAGGCCCGACTGACGTGTTCCTGGCCCACGTAGTCTACAATGTGCTTTCGTCGAAATGCCTCGGGATCCGACCTGGCAGGCAGCTGTCAGCCATCGAGCCTTCACCGATGCGCGCGGCTCGTCACAGCAATCCCGATTCCCGAGAGGTTTGCCCAGCTCCCCCCAGCAGCAGCAGCAGCAGCAGCAGCATGTCAGCATGTGGTAGCGACCTGCCCCAATCTGTGTAAATTCGCATGCACGCAAACCTGCTTTGCCATTCGTCATTGTGCTGCGAAATACGAAGCTTTTCTGCCTCGCCTCTCCTCCTCTCGCAGCAATTCCCAAGGTCGGCAGGTGTCTTTCGAGCCGGCTCAAAAGGCACTGGCTCTCTCTCCGTTGGGCGACGCCTCGAGTTTCTCTCCGTCTCGACCTCCTCGCAAGTAATAGAATCTTGCGGCGTTGAAGTGGAAGTGCATTTCTTGCCCCAGCTTGCTTGAGAGGGAGGATTAATCGCCGCGTGACGCGCGTGCCGCGTACGAACGAGATTACACTGAGCGATGGCGATCGTTCCTCGGAGCCGTTGGATCTTGCCGAACCAAGCCGATGACGACAGCAGCAGGGAGAAAGCTGAACGCCGGCTTACGATGTCTTTAAGGTGAGCCGCGCCGGAATTTCTTGAAAACTAGGAAGAATCACGACTTTCCTTCAACTCTTGAAGATTGGTGCAACTCGTCACGCTTCACTCGTTTCCGCCTGAAAAGCACGTCTTTAATCTCCACTATCTCTCCGTGCGCGCCTCCAGGCACCTGGTACCGCAGGAGTTCATTCACTCCGTGCCGCTCCCGCTCTCCCTCGAGCCCTGCTCCTCCCTCGTCCCGCTGAGCGGCGCGGCGAGCGCGGCGGCGGCGACGGCGGCGGCGGAGGCGCTGCACCCGCACGGGCACATCGACGAGGAGGTGGTGCACGTGGGGCCGGAGTTCAGCTGGCAGGCGCACGTGCGCAACCGACTCCAGGTATTATTGCAGTCTTAGTGATATCGGTTAGTGTCCCATGACGCATGGGGCATTGCTGACCTAATTTCTACCAATGTCGCGTCAAGCACCTGCATGCACCCTTTGAGCTGCCACTTCCCTAACCTTGCTTCTTCCAGTGCCCCGCATAAATCCCGCCCTTCTGCCGGTTTCCCCCCCTTCCCCACCAACCCCACAACTCCCCCCCCTTCCCCCCCCCGCGAACCGCCGCCCGCGCAGTACGACCAAATGTGGCGGCAGTCGATTGAGAACCCGACGCGGTTCTGGGGCAACGTGGCGAGCGAGTTCTTCTGGAACAAGAAGTGGAACGCCGAGGCGCCCATCGTGAGCCACAACTTCGACGTCCGCAACGGACCCGTCGCCGTCGAGGTGCGTGCGTGCGTGCGTGCGTGCGTGCGTGCGTGCGTGCGTGCGTGCAATTACGCTACTACTATAAAAAGCCGTCTCAGATTGAGTCGGATGAGCTTGTATGCAAATTGGCCTTTTTTTTAATTGCATGAATTGCAGGCCCGTAACGGTCCCAGTTCGGCTCGCTGTTTTGTCCCTTCGCTCCCTATTTCTCGCTCCCTTTTTCTTGCTCTCGCTCTCCTCCTGATCGAAGCCTCTCCCTCTCCTTGCCATGTTGGTCGTCGTCGTTTTCTCCCCGCGCCCAACCATCAGTGGTTCGGCGGCGGCTACACGAACGTGTGCTTCAACGCGGTCGATCGCCACGTGGCGGCGGGGCGTGGCGAGACGACGGCGATGCTGTGGGAGGGCAACGACCCCGGGGACGACGCGCGCATCTCCTTCAACGAGCTGCTCGACCAGATCTGCCAGGTGGGGGGGGGGGAGGGGGGGAGTCATGGGGATGGTGGGGATGGTGGGGATGGTGGGGATGGTGGGGATTAGTAGGCATGTGGGGCCATGGATGGATCAAACAAACTAGGGCTTGGTGCTGCATTGCGTCTTTGAGTTCGTTCTCGTCGTGTGCCTCATCGGTATTACAATCTCCGTGTAAGCATTGCGCCTCGTGCTTGCCTCATTTGCCTCGACTTTTCTCTCCAACTCCCCCTAATGTGCTTCTACCACGCGTCCCTTACTGCCACCTCTTTGAGGTGCCTCAAAAATCCTACCACGCGTCCCTTACTGCCACCTCTGCTACGCTGTCCCTGCCGCTGTGGCTGTGGCCGCTGCCGTTACCCCCCCCTACTACGCGCCCCGCAGCTCTCCAACTTCCTGCGCGCGGCGGGCGTGCGCAAGGGCGACACGGTGTGCCTGTACATGCCCATGGTGCCCGAGCTCCCCATCGCCATGCTCGCATGCGCGCGCATTGGAGCCATCCACTCCGTGAGTCCTCCATCCCCCCTCGCCCCCTCGTTTCCCCCCGCCCTTCACCTCCTCTCTTCCCCACACCCTCCCTCTTCTGCGGTCGGCTCTTCTCCCCATGCTTCCAAATTCACCGCTTTCCACTTACACAGAGAGTAATCCTGAATCAACCACTCTCCCTTCCTCTAGCCTACTCTACAGATCCAGTGCCTTCCCAATCCCCCTCCTCCCCCTCCTCCCTCTCCTCCCCCTCCCTCTCCTCCCCCTCCCTCTCCTCCCTCTCCTCCCCCTCCTCCCTCTCCTCCCTCTCCTCCCCCTCCTAACCAATTCTCTTGTCGCTCTTCTCCCCCCCTTTTCCATCCCCCCCCTCCCCCGCGCGCCAGGTGGTGTTCGGGGGTTTCTCCGCGGAGTCCCTGGCCGGGCGCATGGTGGACTGCAGGCCCATTTCTAACGCGTCTCAACAATTTTCCGCCCCCCCCCCCCCACACACTCCCCCCCCTGTCCCCCGCAGGTGGTGTTCGGCGGGTTCTCCGCGGAGTCCCTGGCGGGGCGCATGGTGGACTGCAAGTGCAAGGTGCTGCTCACGTGCAGCGGCGTGCGGCGCGGCGACAAGCTGCTGGGGCTCAAGGACATCGCGGACACGGCCATGCGCATCTGCTCCGAGAGGGACAACATGCACATCCGTGAGTGATAGGCGCTCAGTGAGTGATAGACAACGGGCTTCTGCTCACCCTTCGAGACGTCTCGTAACGAGACGAGCTGCTGGGGCTTAAGGAAATCGCTCACTCTGCCCTGCTCCTCTCCGCCCTGTTCCACTCCAAATCGCACAGAGACGTGTCTGGTGTACGACAACTCGCGCGCCATGGCGCGGCACGAGTGCGCGTTCACGCCCGGGCGCGACGTGTGGTGGCAGGAGGTGGTGAGCACGTACCCCACAGAGGCGGACGTGGAGTGGATGGCGAGCGAGGACCCGCTCTTCATGCTCTACACGTCTGGCAGCACCGGCAAGCCCAAGGTGCGTTTTGAGGCGCCTCAAAACCCGGCAAGCCCAAGGTGCGACGCTGCCTGTGGTTTGCTGTCGTTCGCTGTGGTGTGCTGTTTGTCGTTGTCTGTGTCTATGCGTGGGCCTTGAGTACTCCTCGGAGGCGGACGTGGAGTGGATGGCGAGCGAGGACCCGCTCTTCATGCTCTGCGCAGCAGCGACGTTCCTACTTCCATCCGTCCCATGTCATCCGTGTGTAATGAGCCGATTTTTTAGTCGACTCATTACACACGGTTTTGAGTCGACTCAAAAAGCGCAGCAGCGACGTTCCTACTTCCATCCATCCCATGTCATCCTCTCTCACCACCACCATTGCTCCTTGCTCCACCTTCCTTCCCTTCCCCCTTCTCTTCAGGGCGTGGTGCACACCACCGGCGGGTACATGGTGTACGCAGCGACGACGTTCAAGTTCGCGTTCGACTACAAGCCTGGGGACATCTACTGGTGCACGGCGGACTGCGGGTGGATCACGGGCCACTCGTACCTCACGTACGGCCCGCTGCTCAACGGCGCCACCATCGTCGTCTTTGAGGGGGTGAGCGCCAAAATCTCCCCAACTCCGCCCAACCCCTCCCATTTCCCAAGTCTTGGATCAAACCCCTCTGGCTCCCCTGTTCAAGCCTCCCTCCTCCTCACCTCCTCACCTCCTCACGTCCTCACGTCCTCACGACCTCACCCTCACGTCCTCACCTCCTCGCTTCTCTCCCCCCGCTTTCCCCCCGGTGCTACCGCAGACGCCCACGTGGCCGGACCCCGGGCGGTGGTGGCACATCGTGGACAAGTACAAGGTCACCATCTTCTACACCGCGCCCACCGCCATCCGCTCGCTCGAGGCCTTCGGCGACTCTGTACGTTGCATTGCGGTGCAGTGCTGCTGCTGCTGCTGCTGCTCGTGCTCTGGTGCTCGCTCTCGTGCAACCGTGCCTTGTGTGCTTGTTCTTGTTCGTATGCCTGTGTACCAGCCACACAAGCACACACACACAGGATATGGACTCCAAGCACCGTGCATGCGCACATGCCAGAGCAGCAGCGCACACACACAACGATCACAGCGCCTGCACGCTCCCTCGCGGCTCCGCATTCTCCTACCTCTGACCCCTCCCCTCCTTTCCCTCAAATTTCCTTCTCCTTCCCCTCTCCCCCTCTTGTCTCCCCCCCACCCCCACCCCCCCCCCCCCCCCCCCCCGGTCTCTGCCTCCCCCCCTCCACCCCTAAACAGTACGTGCGCCGCCACTCCCGCGCGTCTCTCCGCGTGCTGGGCTCCGTGGGCGAGCCGATCAACCCAAAGGCGTGGCGCTGGTACTTCGAGGTGGTGGGCGGCGGCCGCTGCCCGATCAGCGACACGTGGTGGCAGACCGAGACCGGCGGCATCTGCATCACGCCCCTCCCGGGCGCATGGCCGCTGAAACCAGGCTCCGCGTCCCTCCCGTTCTTCGGGATCGAGCCGGTGATTCTGGACCAGAACGGCAAGGAGCAGGACGGGCCGTGCGAGGGGTACTTGTGCCTGCGCCGCCCATGGCCGGGCATGGCGCGGACCCTTTTCGGCGACCACGCGCGCTTCGAGGCGACGTACTTTAGTGTCTGGAAGGGGTACTACACGACGGGCGACGGCGCGCGCCGCGACAAGGACGGGTACATCTGGCTGACGGGGCGCGTGGACGACGTGATCAACGTCAGCGGGCATCGGATCAGCACCGAGGAGGTGGAATCCGCGCTGGACGCGCACCCGGCGTGCGCGGAGGCGGCGGTGGTGGGGTACGACCACGACGTGAAGGGGCAGGGCGTGTACGCGTTCGTGACGCTCATGGACGGCATCTCGCCCTCCGACTCGCTGCGCAAGGCGCTCAAGGACTCGGTCCGCAATGAGGTGCGCGCGCTCTCGCCCCCCCCACCACACCCCCCCCCACCCACTCCCCCCGCCCCGTCTTTCGTCAGCCCCCCTCCTCCCCCGCATTCATCCCCCCGGTGTCTTTCCAGTGCGTCCTGTTCCGCTGTGGTGCACCTTGCTGCTGTGAACGTTACTATCATTCGCATGAACGGTTTTTGCAGAGCTGCTGCCCAAGTTGCTCAATGTACCGTAGCAGTCCTCCCTAATCAATCCCCCAACCCTAATCCCCTAATTACCCTGCTGATTCCCTGCTGCATTGCACCCGTCACTCCGCCCATGCCATGCCATGCCATGCCATGCAGATCGGGTCCTTTGCGGCGCCGGACGTGATCCACTGGGCGCCGGGGCTGCCCAAGACCCGCAGCGGCAAGATCATGCGGCGCATCCTGCGCAAGATTGCCGCCAACAAGCTGGACGAGCTGGTGAGCGCACGGGCACGGGCACAGGCACCGGGTTAGGGGGGCAAGGGATCAGGCAGGGCGAGGGGAGGGGACGCGGCACGGGTCATGACGGGGGTATGGTGGGCAAGCATGAGGCCTGCTGCTGAGTCAGATGCACGTCATGATCATGGTGTGCCATGTGAATAACCCCTACGCCCAATTCTGCCTCCTTCACAGTCCTTTCCTCCCCCCTCCCCCTTCCCCTTCCCTCCTGTCTCCATGACCTCCTTTCTGTGACAGGGCGACACATCATCTCTCTCCAACCCGGCCATAGTGGACGAGCTGGTCTCCCTGCGGGGCAAGTGAGGGGCGAGTGTGCAAGTGCATATCTGTAACTTTCCTGCAGCGTGCTGCTGCTGCCATGGCGAGGTTGCTGCTGCAGCACCTTTGTAATTAGGGAGGTTACGCTAGAAGTGGAAGGTTATGCTTGGAATAAGGTTGATGCTAGAAGGGTGGAGAAGAGTGGTTCTTGGTCCGTGGTTGCTACCATGTGAATGCCTTTTGACGTTATTGGTTCGTAGCAGGGTCATTTCCTTCTCCCGTTTTGAATTGTAACAAATTTGTTCTTACCCTTTTTATTACGCTATTCTATTTTCCTTGCTAAGAAGGACAACTAGTGTATGTTGGAAAGCCTGTACGAACACAAGCTTGTATTGACACATTTTCTTTCACTCCAGCCAACACAAATCACACAAGTTCCACGTCAGTTATGAGTCTCCTGTGCTCGAAGCAAGACTTTTATTGGTTAAAATCTTCTCTACGACATTGCCCAATGATCAAGGGTACAATGACCTGTCAAGTTACTTCTCCATCGTGTCTCCAGGACCTGATTGGTGTCGGTATATCGATCACCCAATGGTGTTGCTTCCCTGAAAATCACGATTCTTCGTTGTGTTCGCGCTGCCCACAGCCACGGAAACTAGAAGATCTGGTCCAATGACGGGTTTGTCTGTATTTCGCGCAGATGCATTCGGTTCCATCCAAGCTTTCTTTGTTTACCCTGTGGTTGTAGTGTTGTTCCTGTTTCTGAACAAAATTTTTCCTGGTTTCATGTGGGTGGACAACATTTTTTCGCTACTGTGCATTTAGCAATCCCGACACGTGCAGAAACTACTTTTCCATCACTACACCACCACCACACTTCGCACGCCCTTATCTGTTTCCTTTGTGCGGTGGAGCCTGTCTGCCCGTCATCCGACGGCACGTGACCTGACGAGGGTCGTGAGATTTCCGCCGCCAACACCCTTTATCTGTCGAACCGCATGGGGGGTCCCCCCACTTCCCCCCGACCTGCCGGGTGACCCCCACATCCCCATACCCCCATGTCCCCTCCCCATACTGAACTCCCTCCCATCCCATCCCGTCCCGCGACTCTGCTCTCTCGTTCCCCCAGCGGGCAGTTTCAGATTTGGTGTGTGGCTGTGAGCTGGCCTAGGGGGAACGGTGGTTGCACAGCGCGGGGCTGCTCACGCCGCCAAGGCGAACTTTGTTTGCTCACTCCGCCCGCCGAGGAGAGTGTCACTCTCAAGGTGCAGCGCCGTTGCTGCCCAGCCGAGGAAGGAGAAACGGGTTATCGCGGATGGAATCCGCGCTACCAGCTATGCATCTTCCGCCAAACCCTTGCGTTCTCCCCCAAACCTTCCCCCAAATTCCCCTTCGCCCCCCCACCACCCAACCCAACCCGCTCCCAAGCAACCCCTCCTCCAGATACAAAGACCCCACCCAGCTCACTCTTTTCGCAAGTCACTCGCTGCTTCAATTCCTTTCCACGAGGGTCTAACAGAGCGGCAACAGGCACATCACAAGTTCGGGTTCGGCCCGTCACCAGCTCAGGCGCGAAGGCAAAGACAGAAGTCATGGCTGCCGCTGTTTCCTCTGCCTTGCTTTCCGGCTCTGCAGCGGTCCTTGACCGCCGGGGAGCCAGCGATGCGAGGGCTTCCTCGCTTCGCGCCGCTTCTTCGTCGGCTGCTGCTGGTCCCGCCGTTCCCCTGCTTCCGTCCGCGTCTCGTCGGACGTTCGTACCTAGCCGGTCTGGAAAGCTGAACCGTCTCGTTGCGCGCGCGTCAGTTTCGGAAACAACATCGTCATCGTCATCGTCGTCGGCAGTCGGACCGTACGTCACCGACAGGAGCCATGGCGTGCTCTCCGGCGAGTGGGACAAGTCCGTGTCGCTCCTCACCTACGAAGACCTCTCGCAGCACCTGCAGGGCGTTCTCATCCGCGGATTGGTGGAAGACTCCGAGGCGGCGTCCATGGCTCCCGTCGCGCTGACCACCAAGAGGAGATACGGCATCGTGTCGGGCGAGTGGGACAAGTCCGTGTCGCTGCTGCACTACGAAGACCTGTCGACTTATTTCGAGGCGGTCGTTCTCCAAGGACTCGTCGAGGACTCGGAGGCGAATTACGTGCCGCTCGAGACGGACCGGTCTCACGGCGTGGTGTCCGGCGAGTGGGACAAGAGCATCTCGCTGCTCAGTTACGAGGATCTTTCCCAGCACCTTCTCGCGAACCTCCCCGCCGGTTCCGCGGCTCCTGCGGCGGCGGAGGTGGTTCCGCTGATGGCGGACAAGAGCCATGGCGTGATTTCGGGCGAGTGGGACACGGGCGTGTCGCAGCGGAGTTACGAGGATGTCCTGTTCCATCTCGAATCCAAGATGTTGAAGAATTGACGCGGGAGTTTACTAGCACGTAATTCCCCTAATCAGCCGACAATTCCGCCAGCTCTTCTTGCTCCAGGTTTTTAATCGTCCCATATCAGTGCCTGTAAATGTTTTTATATGTCAATAGTTCAATCGCTTCACCTTTTTTAAAACTGATTCAATCAAGGACGCTTTTTCCAATTGCATGAAACTTACTTGCTGTGAGTGCCTGAGTGGGGATGAGAGGAGATGAGGGTGACATGACAGCAGGAATCAGCACCAGTATCCACCACATAGACCGACCTGCATGTTGCAACACAACAACCCTGTCGGAACCCCTGCATGGACATTCCCCTGTATGTCGTAGATACAGTATTTGCCAGGCATGTGATGTATTCCTGACGTAGTTTGTTCCAGCCTCTGCAGTCCACACAAACAACGCTATGTGTCGAGGTGCTTGTGGTTTTATGCAACATCTCATTAGGCACTTAATTCGTGACCAAAACATGGATCCTAAAACAGCTACAGATGAGATGAAATCCCAACATGGGCATCTTGACATGTGAACCGCTGTACTCTGCTCGGTGGATCCAGCTTCTTAGGAGTACGCCCTAAGAGAATAACATCGCCGAACCGAACAATGAGCAAGGTCAAATCACAGCAGGGGAAAACTACGATACACAACACAAGCTCAAACCATAGTAGGTAGTTGAGTATCTACCGGTACTTATCTACCCAACTGGAGCAGGTTGGAGCGTGAGATGATGGTGCAGGCTAATCCTATTGCGCACCTCCTCCCTCACCCTAGTCAGCAGAGTCGCCTGCCTGTGTGTGGGCGTGTGGGGGGCTGAGTGCAGTGTGTGTGATGTGTACTGTGTTTGTGGTGTGTTTTCTGTGTTCTGTCCCTGCTCTTGCTCTAGTTGCTCACCCTGCTGCTGCTGCTGCTGCTGCTGATGATGATAATACTCATCGCTGTGCACGTGGTGCTGTACACCGTCATTCCCTTGGTGCTCTGGCTGCTGCTGGTTCTGCTGGTTCTGCTGGTTCTGCTGGTTCTGCTGCTCTGCAGTGAGGAGCAGCAGCAGCTCGCGTGCCTGCCAACAGAAATATGCAGGAGAGAGCGTTAGGGAGGCAGCGCACCGGACAAACATGCTGTGCTGTGCTGATGGAAAGTCAAGAACGAGACACAGCAGGGTGTGTGTGTGTGTGTGTGTGTGTGTGTGTGTGTGTGTGTGTGCCCGCGCCGTGCGCGCGTGTGTGTACCATGCCAAAGGCGGGTGCAACATTCAAGTCCCCCATTAGCCCCCAACCTCAACCACCCCTGCAAGCACCGCCATCCCCTCATCTCACCTTCCTCTTGCCTCGCTCTGTCTGCCCTCGCCCCTCCATCATCCTCCCCACAGTCCCCTCCACCCTCAACCCCACCACCTCCTCCCTCCACGACTCCCTCCCCTTCGCCACCAGCAGCAGCGCCACCACTGCAGCCTCCCTTGCAAGGCACGACCCTTCCTCCAGCACTCTCCTTAACCCTGCGACCCCCCCGGCAGTCACAATGGCCTGCCTGCCCTCGTCTGCTGCTGCCAGGGACGCCAGTAGAACGGCACAGTCTTCCACCAGGGTCGCCCTCACGTCGTCGCGCTCGCAAACGGTGTTCACAATATGGGGTATGATTCCTGTGGCGACTATAAGCGGTTTGCTGGGACGGTAGATGGAGAGGTAGTACAGCGCTCGAAGGGCGATGATATGCGCGGGGAGGGAGGAGGGAGAGGGAGGAGGGGATGGCTGGAGATGGAAGGAGAAGGAGGTGGAGGTGGAGGAGGAGAGGGTCGAGGAGGCGGAGGAGGAGGGCGGGCAGGTGAATATGAAGACAGTGGCAAGAGATGGTATGGCTCCCAGGCGGGCGATCTCTTTCTTGAGCTCGTTGCTCTTGGCGAGGCTGAAGAGCACCGCTGCTGCGTGCTCCTGGATGGTTAAACTGGCAGCCTCGCTGAAGGTCACGTGCGCCGATGCTGCTTCTGTAATGCCTCGTGTGCAATCATACGCCCTGCTCTTGCTGCTCCTGTTGTTGTTGTTGTTGCTGCCGCTGCTGCTGTTGCTGTTGTTGTGGTTGTTGCTGGTGCTGGCGCCTTTGCTACTCACCCCATTCCTGTGTGGCTTTCTTACAGGCAAGCAGCTACTACCACAACCCTCCACCACTTCCCAATCCCTATCCCTCCCTCTCGCCCTCTCATTCAAACGATCTCCAATCCCTCTGTTCCCACTCCCACCTCTCCTTGCACCACCATCACCATCGCCATCCCCCCCACTCTCCCCTCCATCCCCTTCCCCACTCCCACTCCCACTCACACTCACACTCACATTCCCCTCCCTCCCCCCACCACTCCCCACACTTCCCCCACCGCCCCCGGCATGCCACACCATGCACGCGCATGCATGCTCCAACAACTCCACCACAGGACAAACCGCGCCGGCCGCCTGCAGCAGCCGCTGGTTCACATCCAGTATCGAGACATTCCGAAGCGCAGCAATGGAGCTCTCAACCAGGTCTGGGTGCTGCCGAGCCTGTGTGAGCGCGAGGAGCGGTGGGATGCCGCCAGCCACGGTGATGTATTCGCGCCAGCGGGTGCTGCGGCGGGAGAGGTGGCGTAGGAGTTCGCACGCTGCTAGGATGCCCACTGTGTCTGCTTTGGCCATCTCTTCTGTCAGTAGCTCCACTGGGTTCATGCCGCCGCCCCTGCTGCTGGCAATGGTGGTGGCGGTGGTAGGGGTGGCAGCAGGAGCAGTGGTGGTGAGAGCAGTGGGGGCAGCAGCAGCGGCAGTGGCGGTAGTGGTGGTGGTGGTGGTGGTGGTGGCAACAGCAGAAGCAGTTGCATTAGCAGGAGAAATGGAGTGTCTTTTAGCAGCGGCAGCAGAGAGAAGGGCTCCTACCCTGCCACTGCAACCTGATTGCACGCCTGATCTCCCTACTGATTCCCCACCTGACTCCGAACCTGATCCGGCAACTGATCCCCCACTCCAGTCAGAACCCCCACTGTGCGTCCACCCGCCTGACCTTCCAGACCCCCCTCCGCCCTCACCTCTCCTCTGCCTCTCCTCTCTTCCCACACCCCTCTCAGCCTCCTTTGAAGAATCGCCGCTTGTGGCACCCTCAACCTGCTTTCCTTCCAACCCTGCCCCCCCAGCCAGCCCCAGCTCATAGCTTCCGAGTTGACTCTGCTCCGGCTGAGGCCCCACTGCCTCTCGCCTCTCAGCCTGCAATGGCTTTCGTGGCTCGTGTCTTCTAATGGAGCCCTGGCGCTGTAAGCTGCCCTGCAAAGCCCACTGCGGCTCCCCGCCTGCTCTTCCTGCATCATCGTCAGCAGCAGCAGCAGAACCAGCAGCAGCAGCAGCAGAACCAGGAGCTGTAGAGAAAGGTTCTTCCTGCTTCTTCGCCTTCTCCCAACTGCCTTTAGCCCATCGAAGCCCTGCGACTGGCGACCTTGCAACAGGTGCTTCTGGTGGTGCTGCTGCTGCTGGTGGCGCTGGTGCTGGTGCAGCTGGTGCAGCAGCTGCTGCTGCTGCTGCTTTTGTATGCGAGGCAGGGGAAGCACGCGAAGCAGGCAGCAAGCGAGATGAAGACAACTGGGGAGCAGGCTTGGCCGAGGCAGATGGTGGCACAGACGCACGGACTGAGACCCCTGCTCTAGAGGGTGAGGGAGGGGACAGGGAGGACGATCGTGCGGTGGGGATGGGTGGGGGCCGGTTCGGAGACCAATTTGCTGTGGGCGATGCGGTTTGGGGGCGAGAGGCAGAGGGGGTCCTCAGAAGGGGTGGCAGTGGTGGTGGCTCGCTCAGGACAGTGGGAGCAGTCTGGGAGCTGGCAGGTTGAATGGGAGCAGATGGTGCTGGCATTGCTACGGATGATGCAGATGCTGGTGATGGTGATGGTGATGGTCCAAAGAAGGAGCGGCGAGGATTGGTGGTGGCAGCAGGAGGAAGCGGACGAGGAGGGTGGAGAGAGAAAGAGGGGAGGTTGGGCGGGAGAGAGGAGGTGGAGCGCAGGGGGGGGAGATAGTCAGGCCTGGAGGTCGGGAGTCTGGGGGAATGAGCAGAGGAGTGAGAACGAGAGTGAGCAGGAGAGGAGGAGAGGGAGCGAGAGGGGGATATGCGTGTGGTCTTTTCGGTGGCATTTCTGTGCGTGGTGCTTATGACCCGCGCGTCAGGGCTGCTGCAGCAGCTGCTGCTGCTGCTGATGGTGCTGACGCTGGTGATGCTCCGACTGTCCTCTTCGTATTCACCATCGGCAGCAGCAGCACGATTCCAAGCACCAGCAGAGTCTTCAGCACCGTGACCATCACCAGGACCAGAACCATGATCAGAACCGTGGAGGCGAATCGTAGCAGTGCTGCCTCTGCTTCCACTGTTGCTGCCCATGCAATCGTCGTCATCGGCTGCTGCCGTGCCATGTCGTCCAGTGAAAGGCGCACTAGAAGCACGTGCATTGGGCGCATGCAAGGGTGGTACATGCTTCGATAACACTCCAAATGCAAGGGCAGTGTCAGCGGTAACATCATCCTCAGCAGCAGCAGCAGCAGCAGCAGCGGCAACACCACCACCTGCCTGTCGCTCCTCTTCCTGCCTCTCCCCATTCTCCCCTCCCTTCCCACACTCACCTCTCTCCCCTCTCTCTCTATCCTCACCCCCCTCCCCTCTCTCCTGCTGCAGCACCAGTCGTCGGCGCTGTGACAGACTGCCCAGGGCCGCTGCCCCAAGCACAGGCGGGCGAGGCATGGGCGGGCGCATTGGGGAGAACAGGCGAGACGAGACAGCAGCAGAAGTACCACCACCACCAGAAGCAGCAGCAGCAGAAGTAGGAGCAGAAGCAGCAGCAGAGGGGGATGCGACTGCAGTGGTTGGGGACACTACCGCCCTCCCATGCGTGTCTACACCGATAGAAGCTAGGCGGCGGATGGGATGGTGCGAGGAGGAGGAAGGGGTCGAAGAGGAGAAAGAGGAGGTGGTGGAGGAGGAGGAGGCGGGGAGAAGACGCCAGGTGCCTGAGGTGGGTGAGAGTCGGAGGGTACCGCTGCCTGCTGCTGCGCGCAGCAACACACGCGTGTCGTGTGATGCAGGGGGCGCTGCTGCGCGCAGCAACACACACGTGTCGTGTGATGCAGGGGGCGCTGCTGCTGATTTTGCTGATTCTGCTGCTCCTGGTGCTGCTGCTGCTGCTTGTGATAACGACGATAATGGCGGTTCAGCAGAAGCAGCAGCAGCGGCAGCGGCAGCAGCAGCAGCAGCAGCAGGTTGCGGAGATGACATAAGCAGGTTGCCTATATTGGCTAGCGACAAGCACGACGCTGCTGCTGCTGCTGCTGCTGCTGCGGGCATGAGAGCGACAGACGCACCAACACCACTAGGTGAACCACTTGCAGTGATGGGACCACTATCGCCACTACTAGCACTGCCCTCATCACCACTGTCGGAACCAGCACCATACCTACCACCCCACACACTTTCCCCTCCCTCCTCCTCCTCCACCTCCACCAACTCTACCCTCCTTCCCACTCTCTCCCTCACTCCCTCCCTTCCCCCACCCACACCCCCTGTAATCCCACCTCTCCCCTCCCTTTCGCCTCCAGCACCCACCACTCCGCCCTCCAAGTTACCAGGACTGTCAGTCTTAGACCCACTCTGCCCACCACCACCGTGCAAATCACCAGCAGCAGCACCGGCGGCAGCAGAACCAGCCCAACCAGCAGCACCAGCAGCACCAGCCGCACCAGCAGCTGGCCACGGATCTCCTTTCCCCTCCCTCGCAGCCCCACTCCCCCACCTGATCCCCGCCACTCGCATCACTGACAGCCCCCCCATGTGCCCCCTCTCCTCCAACGAATGCCCCCGCTGCAGCACCCGCGCCTGCTGCTGCTGCTGCTGCTGCTGCCTCCCCGGGGGGAGGGGTAGTAGCAGGTGGGTGCCTCCAGCACTGATTTCCTTGAGTGAGCGTGAAACCGTCCAGTGGGGAGGGGTATAGGACCCGTCGGATCTTCCACCTCCTCTACCTCCCTCACTTGCATTGTCTCTGCCCATGGGTATGGGTATCATTTGCCGTTGCCTATGCCTCTGCCTGTCCTCCCCTTCTGTTTCACTCACCCAGCCGTCTCGCCTGCCCATGCGCTTCATCTGCAGATCCGGCATCGGCATCGGCATCGGCATTGGCATCGGCATCGGCATTGGCATCGGCATCTGCTTCTGCTTCTGCATCGGGATCTGCACTTCTCCCTGGACTTTTCTCTCTCCGGACAGATTTACATTTACCCCCACTCCCGTTCCTCCTGCTGCGCTTTCTCCTCCAGATGCTCCTGCTGTGCGTGTGCCAACCGCCGCAGCATCAGCATCATCACCATCGCAATCACCATCATCAAGATCATGGTCACCCAGTCTCCACTCTGCTGCCCCTTGTGCCGCGTCTCGCTCCTCCTGCCCCATCATCTGAAGCGCCGCAGCCACATCTCTCATCCCTCTCGCTCCCTGCCCACCCTCACTCCCACCCTCGCCCTCACTCTCACCCTCACTCTCACTCATACTTGCTCTCCCTCTACCATTACCACAGTCATCACCATCACCACCATCAGCACCATCAGCACTATCAGCACCATCAGCACCATCAGCACCATCAGCACTATCAGCACCATCAGCACCATCACCACCATCAGCACTATCAGCACCATCAGCACCATCACCACCATCACCAGTGCTCCCATCTCTGCCTATTGCATGTCTCATTCCTTCCTGCACCGACCCTGTTCCGCTCCACATTTGTAACCGTCGTCCCGTCGTCACTCCAGCCCCCCTCGACATGCGATACCCCTCCTCTCCCTCCGAAACACACCCCCTCAGGCTTCCTCCCCTTCCCAGCCATCCTCTCCCCTCTCCCCTCTCCCCTCCCCTCTCCCCTCCCCTCTCCTCAACCCACTGCCTCTGTCTTCCCCTCTTCCCCTGCCCCTCCCTCTCTCCCTCTCCCACCCCCTCCCCTTCTCCAGCACACTCCCCCATTCCAACTCCCTCCACCTGCACCTGCTCCAGCTGCTGCTGCCTCTGGCTGGCCGTCCGTACCAGCAGGTCCATCACAGCGGGGGATACCACCACTCTATGGATCACCTCTCCTTGCCCCAGCACACCCACCGCCCTCACGCCGCCACCACCACCACCAGCGCTCGCTGCACCTGCAGCAGCGGCAGCAGAAGCAGCAGCAGCAGCAGCAACAGCAGCAGCACTCCCTGCTGCTGCTGCTCCTGCAACTCCTGCTCTATTGACAGCAGTCAAGTCAGCAGCTGTGGTGATAGTTGCAGCACCGTCTGCACCAGTGGGGGCAGGGACAGCAGACGCAGGGCCAGAACGAGCGGCAAGGGAGTCAAGATAGGGGCTAGGATGCCAGTGCATGCTGCTCCCCTCTGACTCGGTCCAGAAACTGCTACTCTCCTCGCTCACAAACTCACCGTTGCTCTCCTCCCCTTCCTCCTCCTCCTCCTCCTCCTCCTCCTCCTCCTCCTCCTCCTCGTTCTCCTCCTCCTCTTCCTCCTCTTCCTCTTCCTCTTCCTCCTCCTCTTCCTCCTCCTCTTCCTCCTCCTCTCCCTCCTCCTCCTCCTTCTCCTCTTCCGCCTCTTCATCCTCCTCCATTCCTTCATCCTCTTCCCTTTCCCCCACTTCCTCCTCGTCTTCCCCCATCGACAAAGCATGCACACTACCCCCTCCCTTGAGCCGTTCTTCCCACTCTTCATTCCCCTCCAACCCACCATCCCTCCCCTCCAACCCACCATCCCGCCCCTCCAGCCCACCCTCCGTCCCCTCCAGCCCACCTTCTCCCGTCTCCACCTCACCCTCTCGTCCCTCCTGCCGTGCGCCCCTCCCTCCCATGCCATGCTCCTCGAACCTCCTCCTGTACACTGCCCTCCTCCTATCCGCCTCCCACACACTCCTCCTCTCCTCCCCTCTCCTCCCAGCAGGACTGCCCACATCACTGTTGCTCCTCACAAACGCAGGGGTCAGCAGCGGCAGCCATTTCTCGCCCCCTTTCCCCTCCGCCCCTTTGCTGTCACTGCCCTTGCTTCCCTTGCTCCCCTTGCTCCCCTTGCTGTCGCTCCCTTTACTGTCACTCCCCCGGCTGCCGAAGCTGTCTATATGGAAAGAGTCATCGTCGTCCTCTGTTCCGATCCGGAGGCCAAGGGCTAGGCGGAACGGATGCAGGGAGAGGGATGAAACGGGGGCATGGCTGTAAGGACCAGGAGCATAAAAACCACCACCACCACCACCACCATCAGCACCATCAGAATCAGCAGCAGCAGCAGCAGAGGCGGCGGCAGTGGTTGTTCTGGAGCTGGCTTGTGGACGAAAGAACGGGGAGTACATGGGAGGGATGGGATGGATGTTGGCAGGGAGGGAGAGGCCTCGTGCCGGGAGGCGGTGGGGCAGAGCACCAGCTACGGGGAACGGACTGCCATGCCGATGCGTATAGTTACCACCCCCGTCACGGCCACCACCATCATTATTATCATCAATATTATCGTTATCATCAATATCATCATCCTCGCTGTGCTGGGAGGAAGAGGAGGGGGACCAAGGGAGTGATGGAAAGGCAGTTTGAGCTGTTGCCTTCTTGGCGGTTGGGTGGATGGTGGGCGATTTGAGCAACTCAGGCACAGACATGTGCACGTGGATCTGCCCCTCATTCCCCCATAAGTCCGCTCGTTCCTGCTGCTGGCTCTCTGCTCTCTCTGCTCTGTGCTGGGTCCACCCTTGCTGCTCCTCCGACCCAGCTTCCTCCCTTTCCTCATACTCCTCTTCCACCTGCCCTTCCTCCTCCCTTTCCCCTCCCATCTCTACTTCCTCCTCCCCTCCCCCCTCCCCGTCCTCTTCCACCTTGCTTCGGTCCTTCCCGTCTCCGCTACCATATCTTCTTTCCCCATCCTCCTCCTCAAGTCCCTCCTGTCCAAGCGTCCTGCTGAAACCCCAAAGCCCCTCCCCATGCCTCCCCCTCTCTCCCTCTCCCTCTCCCTCTCCGTACCCTCCCCTCCTCTCTCCATCCCTCTCCATCCCCTTCCCGCTTTCCCCTACCCCTTCCCCTTCCCGTTCCCAGTCCTCTGGACATGCCCCTGCCATTCTTTGAGTTGAATCACTTAAATCGTCGCCTGATCCGAACGATACCTCCTCAAGCACTACTCCGGTAATGTCTCGCGTAAAAGGTAGTGCCTGCAGTGACATACTGTCGCCTTGCATCCAAGACACTGGTGCTGCCACCTCCTGCTCCTGCTCCTGCTCCTGCTCCTGCTCCTGCTCCTGCTCCTGCTCCTGCTCCTGCTCCTGCTGCTGCTGCTGCTCTTCCGTCCTCCCCTCCTCTCTCTCGCCTCCGTCCGCCTCTCCTCCGTAACTGCCTTCCTCCTCCCATCCCTGCCTCTGCTCCCATTCCTTCTGCTCCCTATCATCCTCCCTCTCCTCCTCCCTCTGCTGCTCCCTCTCCTGTTCCCTCTGCTGCCCCCTCTGTGCCTGGTACAGCTGCCACTTGTGCTGTCGAAGCATCTGCCAGTGCATCTCCGCGGCAACCATCTGGCTCTCCCCTGTCCCTAACCACCCCATGCCACCCCCCTCTCCACCGACACCACCACTACCATCCGCGCTGCTTTCTCCATATCCCATCATGCCTCTCCCGAAGTCGCTGATGCCGAACCCAGCCGCTGCTGAAACAGCATCAGCATCAGCTGTGGCTGCGGCTGCGGCTGCGGCTTCAGCATTAGCAGCAGCAACAGCTGCTGGTGCTGCAACAACGTCAACAGAAGCAGCAGCAACCCCACCCCCACCACCACCACGGGCGCCAGCAGCACCTGCATACGCACTCCCACTGCGGCCGCTGCTGCTGCTGCTGGCATGGCTGCTGCTGCGTCGCGCCACGCCCACGCCCGCCAAAGACACGTCAGCAGCATAGCTACCAGTAGCACGAGTCACAGTGTAAGAAGCGGACTCGGGGCGAATCTCCAAGAGCACCGGACCGCACGAGGCGCAGTCGGGTCTGCTGCACGGGCTGGCCTCGCTGCAGGCACGTCCCGCGTCAGATCCAGGCCTGTGCTGCTGCGTGTGCTGCTGCGTGTGCTGCTGCGTGTGCTGCTGCGTGTGCTGCTGCGTGTGCTGCTGCGTGTGCTGCTGCGTGTGCTGCTGCGTGTGCTGCTGCGTGTGCTGCTGCGTGTGCTGCTGCGTGTGCTGCTGCGTGTGCTGCTGCGTGTGCTGCTGCGTGTGCTGCTGCGTGTGCTGCTGCGTGTGCTGCTGCGTGTGCTGCTGCGTGTGCTGCTGCGTGTGCTGCTGGCGGTGTGCTGCTGGCGTGTGCTGCTGCGTGTGCTGCTGCGTGTGGCTGCGTGGCTGCTGTGGCTGCTGCGTGTGCTGCTGCGTGTGCTGCTGCGTGTGCTGCTGCGTGTGCTGCTGCGTGTGCTGCTGCGTGTGCTGCTGCGTGTGCTGCTGCGTGTGCTGCTGCGTGTGCTGCTGCGTGTGCTGCTGCGTGTGCTGCTGCGTGTGCTGCTGCGTGTGCTGCTGCGTGTGCTGCTGCGTGTGCTGCTGCGTGTGCTGCTGCGTGTGCTGCTGCGTGTGCTGCTGCGTGTGCTGCTGCGTGTGCTGCTGCGTGTGCTGCTGCGTGCGCTGCTGTCTGTGCTGCTGCCTGTGCTGCTGCCTGTGCTGCTGCGTGTGCTGCTGCCTGTGCTGCACGCCGTGCTCTCTGTGCGGCTGGCTATCGCGTCTTCCGCAGAACTGCTGCCGTGGGCTGAAAGGACTTTCTCCCCTCTCCTCCCTCTCCTTCCGCTGCTCCCTGTCGTCCCGATTTCTGTACTCGCCTCTCCCCCGTACGGGTTGCGCCACGTACTCGCGGGATATAGCGCGGGCGGACGGGCTCGAGGCACCCCCGCGGGGGGAGGACGACGCCACGCGCGGCAGAGAGGCGGACCCGCGCGGGGAAAGGCCATTAGCGCTCGCGGAAAAGGCGGAGGCTGACTCGCGCGGGGAGGAGAAGGCGGTGGAGCGCGGGGAAATGGCGGACGAGTGCGGGGAGACGGCGGAAGCCAGGGAGAACGAGCGGCTGATGCTGCCTGGGGAGGCGAGGGTATGTCGAAAGGCTTGATGCGATTGCGATTGAGATTGCGATTGCGATTGCGATTGCGGGGCCGTAGAAGCGATTGCGTCGTAGGCTACGGCAGCGCCAATAGTGGCGGGTGGTGGTAAGGAGTAGGGCCTTCTCGAGTTTCCTGGTGAGGCAGCAGCAGCAGCAGCAGCACTAGGGGCAGAGTATACCTCAGCGGTGGTGGAAAACAAATGCTCTCGCGCGTAAAACGCCGCTGCGATGGAAGCCGCTGACGTGGCAGGATCGACGGCGAGGCGATCGCTACCGGCGACGATGCTGCTGTCGTCATCATCTTGTGAGTAGCTGACGTCAAGCAACTCACCTTCCTCCCACCGCTCCCCTTCCTCGTCCCCTTCCACCCACGGGCATGATGACGACTCGCGCCCGCCCAGCAGCGGGAATCGGCGCGCTGTCATCGTCACGCCGAGCCGCTCCATTAGTAAGGGCCTTTGCGGGTCGAGGAGGCTGACGAAAGGATGCCGCGGAAAGAGAGGGAGGTGGCACGGAATCACATCCACAGCCGCGAAAAGTCTCTGCCAGTGGATGTTGTGGAAAGTCTTGGTGATAATAAGCTCGTTTTGAGGCGTGGCTTGTTTCTCTCTAGACGAAGACCCGGGCTATCGACGAACGCGAACTGAACGCACACCGTGACGAGACGACGAGCTGTCGTTTCTAGAACTAAACTGGAACTAGTTTAAACTTGACTACTACTACTGCTACGCGTAGTAGTAGCGCTGCTACGTCGCGAATCCGCGTGCAGCTTCGTGTGGGTGAGAAACGGACGAACGGACGAACGGACGAGGGTGGCGAAAACAAATGAAAGAATGGAATGCGAGAAGGACGCGGGCGACGCTGCGAGCATTCCTACTTCTAGTAGCACTGGTACTGTGTGGGGCGAGAGAAACACTGCCTGCCGCTGTATGGTGGGTGACGCGCAGCATGCTTGCGAGTTGGTTTCAGTTGTGTCGAACGATGGGCTCTTTGTGGGGAAGGCTGGTTACTGGCGACTGGCGAATCAGGCAGGGCAGCGGCGCGCAAGGAAAGTCCAGTGGATGACGAAGAACGCGAGACGAAGAGCGTGATGCGAATCGGAATCCCAAGGGAGCGAAAGTGGGGGGTGCGGGGAGAAAGAGCGCGCCGCGTGATGGACTCGTCTTGAGTAATTCCATGAAGGGGGGATGACAGCTGGGAAGCAACTCTTGAGTGTGATTCGGGTCGGGTAAGAAGTTATGAGTGACCGAAGATGGAGTACGCGGAAGGACGGAAGGTGTATGCATGCGCCATGGCTGCTGCTCTCTCTCTCACTCTCTCTCTCTCTCTCATCTACACCTCACAAATCCGTGACACGATGAAGGAAGGATACGGTACAGCTTTAGCTGCAGCCGCTACGAAGTCGGCTCGGCCCGAACGCGCACGCAGTCATCCGCTTCTACCTGCACCTCCGTCGGCGGCATCATCCGGAGCCACTCGCCTCGCCTCGCCTCGATTGTTTAATCTACTATTCACTGTACAACCGCGTTGTTGGCGCTGACAAGGGAGCTTTGGCTTGGTTGTGCTGTGAGCTCAGCTGCTGGGTCAGGTTTGGTTGCAGCACCGCAAGGGAAACAGCCCTCCCCAAAACCAACGCGGTTCCGCTGCTCCCCCTGCCCTTCCAATGATTTCTCTCAACGAGCCGACAGGTTCCGAAACTGCTTGTGAAGAAAGGTGACCACACTGCACAGAAAATCTCAAACACTTCCAGCCAGCTGAGTTACGAACCACTCTGTGAAGCCTTTGGATGTTTAGCCGAACATCTCTTGTGGAAGTCTGCGATTTCAGAGGCTTTTTACAAAAACAAAATCTCACCTCTGTAAACATTTTCGAATTCACCACATCTGTTGCGTGGGCCAAGAACATGTTCCACGTCCCCGCCGTCGGTCACCACACCAACACATAAAACATGGGCTTGGGATGATCGAGGTGATGTGTACCACACGATGCGTATGATGACGCTAGGATCGACGGCCCTACACGACGAGAAGAATTCTCTGAGCAGCACTTGCTTCGTGCGCCCCGGGCTTCACCAACCCCGCCATTTCTCTAGTTCAAGAATTGTTGCATTTGTCGGCAGGTTTTTTGAAAGGGGAATCTGATGTCAGCAAGCATCCAGGTCAAGCGCCTTCAACGATTTGCGTGTCATAAAACCAGGATGACCCACCCTGAAACTCTTCGTGGTGTATTCTCTTTTTTCCACACCAAAATCACGAGATGGGAGGTGCATTTGAACGGAATGGCAACACTTGGGCTGCTGCTTTCGGAGCCACCCAAAAACAAAACGCCGCCCCAAGTTGCTTCGAGGCGTGAAATTCGTTGACCTTGGCTGCCTCGAGATGCCGCACTAAACATTCACCGCGTCTACTTATGTGTTTGCAGAATATTACACTCAATACCTTTCTCTATGCAACACAAGATGAATCTACCAGGAAGAAAGTGGTGTCCTTCGTCTCAACAATCCTCAGTCACCCAGTGACAAAACCGACCAACAAGAAAACCAGCTACCAAAACACTCCTCCCAAAGCTCTACTAATGCATGCTGGGAGGTAAACAGAAGAGACACACATGCCCAGTAACCTGCTCCAAACGATAACCTCGCTCCAAAACTTACTCACACATGAAACAGCTTCACCACTTGCTGAATATTCGCGCGGCACACGGGGCAGCCCCACCCCTTGCCCTTCACCTCGCCCAAGCACTCCATGCACCCTGCCACATGGCCGCACGGCACACACACCGCCTCCGCCCGCGCATCCCAGCAGATCACACACTGCCCCCCGCCCGTCCCAACGTTGCTCTCTGCGCGCTTCAACTCAGCTTGCACGCGCTCGGGGTCGTACGACGGGTGCAGCTCAACATTAGGCGATCCTGCTGGTACTCCTGCTGCTGCTGCTGCCGCTGTTGCTGGCGCACTGTAGTCTACTGTGATCGGGGTGGTGTCGATAGTCGGGTACGAGAGAGCCGAGCCGGCAAGAGGGGGCGAGAGAGGAGGAGCAGAGGGAGCAACGTCTGCAGCAGCCGCACGAGCAGCAGGCATGGGGATAGGAGCAGAAGCAGCAGCAGTGGCAACAGGTGGGGGCTGGTACCACCCTTCCTGCACTGAAACCGGTGCTGCTGCTGCTGCTGCTGCCACTGCTGGTGCTGGTGCTGGTGTGACTGGTGCTGATGCAGCGGGAGGGGGGGAGCGAGTTGGTGCTGGTGACGCTGCAGCAGCAGGAGCGGGAGAAGCAGCAGGGCCCCAGCCACCGTAGCTATCCGCGTTGCTGCTGGATGGTCCCCAATCAGAAGCCCCACCAGCAGCACCAGCCCCAACAGCCCCAGCAGCAGCACCACCACCAGTCCTTCCCATGGACCGATCACCACCACGAGCACTAGGCGGCACACCAGCACCAGCAGCAGAAACGCCCCCAGTGGAAGCAGCAGCTGTAGCAGCGGCAGAGGCAGAGGCTGCGGCAGCAGCAGCAGCAGCAGCAGCAGCGGGAGAGAAGGGATGCGGGTGATCCGAAGTGGAAGGGCCAGAATCCCAGCCAGCATATGCTGTGGACGGAGGAGGGGCGGCCCAGCCACCCATGTCTGAAGCAGCACCCGCACCACGACCACTACCAGCAGCAGCGGAAGTGGGGGACGTGGAGGAGGATGAAGACACAGAGCCTCCAGCGGACTGACGACTGATGTCTTGTTGACTTGATGGCTGCTGCTGCTGGCGCTGGGAGGAAACCGGCAAGCGCAGCTGACGCTGTTGGGAGGGAAAGAGTGAGGAGAAAGAGGAAAAAGAGAAAGAGTGGAGCGGAGAGAGGCAAGAGGATGAAGGGGAGGGATGATGCGAGTGGCATGCGCCTTTGCATGCCGCAATGTGTCCACTAACATGTACAGGGATGGGTGTGACATGAGGAAAGAGGAGCTGGGTGGGGCGCACGCACATGAGCGGGCACACCATGTGCGCACGTAAGCACGCATTGCATGTGCGCACGTAAGCACGCATTGCATGTGCGCACGTAAGCACGCATTGCATGTGCGCACGTAAGCACGCATTGCATGTGCGCACGTAAGCACGCATTGCATGTGCGCACGTAAGCACGCATTGCATGTGCGCACGTAAGCACGCATTGCATGTGCGCACGTAAGCACGCATTGCATGTGCGCACGTAAGCACGCATTGCATGTGCGCACGTAAGCACGCATTGCATGTGCGCACGTAAGCACGCATTGCATGTGCGCACGTAAGCACGCATTGCATGTGTGCACGTAAGCACGCATTGCATGTGCGCACGTAAGCACGCATTGCATGTGCGCACGTAAGCACGCATTGCATGTGCGCACGTAAGCACGCATTGCATGTGCGCACGTAAGCACGCATTGCATGTGCGCACGTAAGCACGCATTGCATGTGCGCACGTAAGCACGCATTGCATGTGCGCACGTAAGCACGCATTGCATGTGCGCACGTAAGCACGCATTGCATGTGCGCACGTAAGCACGCATTGCATGTGCGCACGTAAGCACGCATTGCATGTGCGCACGTAAGCACGCATTGCATGTGCGCACGTAAGCACGCATTGCATGTGTGCACGTAAGCACGCATTGCATGTGCGCACGTAAGCACGCATTGCATGTGCGCACGTAAGCACGCATTGCATGTGCGCACGTAAGCACGCATTGCATGCGCGCACGTAAGCACGCATTGCATGTGCGCACGTAAGCACGCATTGCATGTGTGCACGTAAGCACGCATTGCATGTGCGCACGTAAGCACGCATTGCATGTGCGCACGTAAGCACGCATTGCATGTGCGCACGTAAGCACGCATTGCATGTGCGCACGTAAGCACGCATTGCATGTGCGCACGTAAGCACGCATTGCATGTGCGCACGTAAGCACGCATTGCATGTGCGCACGTAAGCACGCATTGCATGTGTGCATTACCTGAGGAATGCCCTGGCATGCGTTGTACAGCTTCTGGATCTGCCCCGGCTCTCTGGACTCCCTGTCCGCTGTAAACTTGTACTTCTCAGCTGCCCTCCGAGCGAAAGAAATGAAGCACAATGAGGAGCCCGGGAGGGCGCGACGGAAGGAAGGAGGGAGGGAGGGAGGGAGGGAGGGAGGGAGGGAGGGAGGGAGGGAGGGAGGGAGGGAGGGAGGGAGGGAGGGAGGGAGGGAGGGAGGGAGGGAGGGAGGGAGGGAGGGAGGGAGGGAGGGAGGGAGGGAGGGAGGGAGGGAGGGAGGGAGGGAGGGAGGGAGGGAGGGAGGGAGGGAGGGAGGGAGGGAGGGAGGGAGGGAGGGAGGAAGGGAGGGAGGGAGGAAGAGAGGGAGGGAAAGAATGGAAGGGGGAGATAAGACGTAACAGTGAGTGGGAGGACAGGGAGAAAGACTGGGCAAAGGAAAACAAACTTGACCTTTCATTGATGCACCATTCAACCACGCACCTCCTACACACACCCCTCTCTGCAGCCCCTGCACGCACCCCTGTGTGCACCCCCTGCATGCTCCCCTCCCTAGACTCCCCCCCTGCACGCACCCCTCTCAGCACCCCTCTCTGCATACCCTACATGCACCTCTCTTCACCCGCTTGCCTTGCACGCACCTCGCTGCATGTCCTCTACGACCAACATAGGGTCGTTGGTGTCCTGCTTGGTGAGGTACACGCGGCAGTGGTGCAGCAGCACCTCCGTTGCCGTGGGCGCCTGCAGAGCGGGGGAGAGAAGGGGAAGGGTGGAAGGATGGGGGGGATGGGGAGGATGGAGAGGAGGAAGGAGAGATACGAGGTGGAGGTAAGTTGGCAAAAGGAAAGAAAATGGATATGCAGGGATGCGAGGCACAGCACACGAACAGGACAGCAAGACAAGGCATGCATGCACACACATGAAAAGGTCACGCACCGCCAGCAGCGCACATCGCCAGCAGCGCACATCACCAGCAGCGCACATCGCCAGCAGCGCACATCACCAGCAGCGCACATCGCCAGCAGCGCACATGTTCAGCCATCCCCATGAATGACCCAGCCTACCGAGGGCGAGGCATAGATGTTGAGTCGTTGCCGTGCAGCATTGGCTTGTGACCCCGGCACCACAGCCACCCACCTGACGGCACACGCGGGCGGACCGGATGCAAAAGGTGTAAAACACTGGTTTGACGGGGGACGTCAGCAGCGACAACACTTCACACAGCAGCAAGCAGCAGCAGCAGCAGCAGCAGCAGCAGCAGCAGCAGCAGCAGCAGCAGCAGCAGCAGCAGCAGCAGCAGCAGCAAGCAGCAGCAAGCAGCAGCAGCCAGCAGCAGCAGCAGCAGCAGCAGCAGCAGCAGCAGCAGCAGCAGCAGCCAGCAGCAGCCAGCAGCCAGCAGCAGCAGCAGCAGCAGCAGCAGCAGCCAGCAGCAGCAGCAGCAGCAGCAGCAGCAGCCAGCAGCAAGCAGCAGCAGCAGCCAGCAGCAGCAGCAGCAGCAGCAGCAGCCAGCAGCAGCAGCCAGCAGCAGCAGCCAGCAGCAGCAGCAGCAGCATCGTCGCAAAGCAGCTTCTTGAGTTTACGCTAGCAGAATCATGAAAAATCCACCGAAGAGAGGGGAGGGGAGGGGAGGGGAGGGGAGGGGGTAGCAGCAGGGGGGCCTTACACTTTCTTGGTGACCCACTGGGGCACGAGTGCCTGCAGGAAGGCTGGACCTGACAGCTGCTGCTGCCGCACATAGCCTATGAAGAGAGCCACGCGGTCCTGAATGCCCGCGCCGGGGGGGGGGGGGGGGTGAGGGGGAAGGTGGGGGTAGGGGTTGGGTTTGTGGGGGTGCTTTTGAGTCGAATCACAAGCAGGCTGGGCCCACAGCATACGGAGCGAGCCACGCGGTCCTGAATGCACGCGGGCGGGTGCGGGAGTGGGGGTTCGGGGGGGGTGGGGCATGAGTGTGGGTGAGTGTGAGTGAGAGAGGGGGGCAGAAAGGGGGGTGGACCATTAAAGAATGGGCGGTGTGGCGAGAGTGGGAGACGCCTAAGTGCGAGAGGGAGAGGAAGGGATGAGGAAGACAAAGGGGAGAGAAAGAAGAACCAAGGGGATCGCCGGGATGGATGGGAATGGCCCCGAGGGGGGAAGAGGGGTGGGGGAAGAGAGGAAGAAGAACAGGCGGGGAGAGACAGAAAATGACTTCTGAATCGACTAAAAAACGGGAATGGACGAAGAGGGGGGGGGGGGGGGGAGAGTTTTGAGTTGACTCAAAGGGGATGAGGCAGACAACGGGAATTGCCGGGACGGATGGGAATGGACCGGTGGGGGGGGAGTGGGGGGGAGAGAAAGAGAAGAAGAATAGGCAGGTAGACGGCGCAGAACGAGAGGCACGATCCAGACACAACGGCAGCCCCCCATAAGCTCCTCCCCCTGTCATCCTCCCCCCTCCCCTCCCCCTCTCCCCCCCTTTCACCCACCCACCCCCACCCCACGTCGCTCCCCTCCCCCTCCCCTCCCCCCCCCTCCTTCCTTCCCCCCCTCCCCCCCCACCTCGATGATCCGCGCCATGGTGGGGCGGTGCTGCTCCCACGCTATGTCCAGCGCGCGCCTGCCGATGTCGTTGGGACGCAGGGGGTCCGCTGAGGTGGGGGAGAGGGGGGGGGACGGCGAGGAGCACGGAGAGGAGAGAAGAGAGAGGGAGATGGGAGACGGGAAAGGAGAAAGGGGAGAGGAGAGAGGGGGAGAGGAGAGGGAGAGGAGAGGAGAGGGAGAGGAGCGGGAGGGAGAGGAGAGGGTGGGTAGGCAGAGATCGAGGAGGAGATGCCGAGTGTAAGCGGCAAAAGCGAGTAACAGAGTCAGAGAGAGAAGCAGGCACATGATGAGAAGCATGCAGCTGACACCAACGCCCGTCTGCTCGTTTCCGTTCCTTTCCCATGTGCCCTCCCCATCGCCCATGGCACATCTCCTGGCGCCACTCATAACATCCCCCTCCGCCCTCCACCTCTTCCGCCCTTCTACCTAGACCGCACCTGCACCACCAACCCCCTCTCCCTCCAAGCCCCATTGTCGCATCCACATCCACATCCCCCTTCCCCCCACCTCCACCTCCCTTCCCCCCACCCCCAGCCCACCCCACCGCCCTCCCGCTTTCCCCCTACTCCATAGACCAATAGCCTCAGCCTCCAACAGACTCCCCTTTTCGTCCCCCATCCCCCCCCCCCTCTAACCTCCATCCCTCCATTTTTCCAACCCCTCCCTCCCCCCCCCCCCCACTCTCCACCCCCGCCCCCACCCCCCCCACTTCACTCCACCCCCGCTCCGCTCCGCACCTCCATAGTCCAGCAGCAGCTGCACCGTCTGATCCAGGCCCTTCCGCGCTGCCTGGTGGATGGCTGTTCCGCCTTGCGCTCCTGTTCCCAGAGGAGCGCGGAGGAGCGCGGAGGAGAGCGGAGGAGCGCGGAGGAGAGCGGAGGAGCGCGGAGGAGCGCGGAGGGGTGCCGGGGGGTGGGGGAGAGGGGGGAGGGGGGGGGGGGGGGGTTTGGGAGGAAAGATAAGGAGAGCGGAATTGGTAGGAACAAAAAAAACTGGGAAGAAAAACGAGAGAGAAAACAACGACTCATGAGATCAGACTTTCGACAAGCCTTATGATTTGGGTCGTTCGACCTGCACGATCAGCACGACCTGCTACTTCGGATTCCCCATCACGACCATCAATCTTACACTACATCTACGACGAATCACGAAACATCGCGGAAGCATCACGAGGCACAAACTCGCCTCGCACGTAAGCGTTGACGTCAGCACCGAGCTGCAGCAGCAGGCGTGCGACCGGAAGCATGTCCGCACGACTGCATGCGATGATTAGCGACGTGCGACCGTGACTGTCTTGCCACTGCGACAAGGGCAGCGGAGGAGCGGATAGGGCGACGACAGGAAAAACGTGAACAGGTAGCAGAAAATCAACCGGTTGACCAGGAAAGAAAAAGAGAGAGGAAACACGCTCTCGTTATAACATTGTCGGAACATGGACATTGCCGTTCTCCGCGCTAAGGGACACAGAGACACAGATAACGTCGGAACATGGAGCGAAACACGAAGCACGACAATCCAGCCAATCCGATGCTTCGAACCAATCAATCAACCGGCTGGCCGGCTGGCCGGCCGGTTGCAGCACTACCTCCAGTCCCGCGCCTTTCTGCCGGAATTTGCTAATGAGGCGCCTAAAAAAATAAACCCCAATAAAAAAGCCGGTCGCAATACTACCTCCAGACCCGCGTCTTTCTGCCTGAGGCATTACTGAGTCGACTCAAATGTCGCCTTACTCAACCATCGGGTCGTAGTACTACCTCCAGTCCCGCGCCGTCCTGTCGGAGACGCTTTATTCCGCTAACATCCGCTTTCTGCGTCGCCTGATACACCAACTCCTCTCGCGAAACGCCCTGACCCATGGCAACGGCAACGGCGACGGCGACGGTGGTGGTAACGGTGACAGCACGTGACGCTCCTCACTGCAGATCAGTACGCGCAATCCCCCCAAAACGATTTAAACTAGTTAACAAAGAAATTATGGGGGAGGATGAAGCGGGCGAGAAGTGGGAAGAATAGCTGCAGCTTTACCGCTCGCGCAAGCCTTGGGAAGCCAAATATGGGGAATGGAGGAGAAAGGCGCTTATACTGCAGTGCAGCCCATGGAGGGCGCTTCAGTCCGTTGTGCGTAGTTTTAGCTTTTAGCACATGGGGGTGGTGCGAGGAAATGGCCAGTTTAGCGTGCCGTGCCTGCTGAAGCCATCGGAATCGTGTGCCACCAAAAGAAACGGTCTACAGTGATTACGGAATTATGTGGCAAATATCCCTTCCATCATGTAATTCAAGAAGAATATCCAAAACGTTAGAACTCCATTTCTGGGTTGATACAAGCTCTCTTTGCTTGTGCGCCAAGGCATAAACGGCAACGACGTGGGCAAACCTGAAGGCAGGTGAGGAGACATAAAACCATATAGCGTAACCGAACCCCCATAACTAAGGATGACAAGGGACAACAAGCAGGCAGGCAGGCACAAACGGTATGAGCCAAGGCCTCATGCCTAAAAAGACACGCTACTCTCTCTTCCCTTGGGGCGAGGAAACCAGCACAAACTCGAGGAGGCTGGCCTTGTCCGCTTCCAGCATCTGCACTTGGCCCTGGAGCTCAGATATGTACTCCAATGCCTGCCCAAGAACTGTCTCCATTGTCATGCGCGACTGCCCCTGCGGCAACACCTCCTTCAGCTGCTGCAGCCGCACACTGCACCAGGTAAGGAAAACAGTGGGGGACAGGAGGGACAGGAGGGACAGGAGGGACAGGAGGGACAGGAGGGACAGGAGGGACAGGAGGGACAGGTGGGACAGGAGGGACAGGAGGGACAGGAGGGACAGGAGGGACAGGAGGGACAGGAGGGACAGGAGGGACAGGAGGGACAGGAGGGACAGGAGAGACAGGAGGGACAGGTGGGACAGGAGGGACAGGAGGGACAGGAGGGACAGGAGGGACAGGAGGGACAGGAGGGACAGGAGGGACAGGAGGGACAGGTGGGACAGGAGGGACAGGAGGGACAGGAGGGACAGGAGGGACAGGAGGGACAGGAGGGACAGGAGGGACAGGAGAGACAGGAGGGACAGGTGGGACAGGAGGGACAGGAGGGACAGGAGGGACAGGAGGGACAGGAGGGACAGGAGGGACAGGAGGGACAGGAGGGACAGGAGGGACAGGAGGGACAGGAGGGACAGGAGGGACAGGAGGGACAGGAGGGACAGGAGGGACAGGTGGGACAGGAGGGACAGGAGGGACAGGAGGGACAGGAGGGACAGGAGGGACAGGAGGGACAGGTGGGGAGGGTTAGGATGAAGTGGGAACAGACAGGAGCGAAATAGGACCAGGCAAAAAGGCGAAGAAACCGAACTGAGTGACCAAACTAGTAACTACTGTAGGAAAAACAGGAGACTGAAGGCATCGTTGACTTCCCGCACCTGATTCCGTTGCGTCGCTTTTTCTCTGCCACCGTTCTTGGCTGCTTGGGACCCCTGCGGCCACCACCCACAGCTCGAGGCACGGGGGGGAATCCACTCTGCCGCCCCTTCACCCCTCCCTGATGCTGCTGCTGCTGCAGCAGCTGCGAGGACGGCGACGAACGAAACACTTGCTGCTGTTGCTGATAGTGATAATTGTCCTGGAGCTCCAACAGATGCTGCTGCTGGTGCTGCTGCTGCTGTTGCTGCTGCTGCTGCACCCCTTCTGGAAGCACCTCGCCTATGTGCTCCTCCAAGTCACTGTTCTCGCCAGAGCTTTCCTCACAGGAGTCATCCGCAGCCTGCAGAGCAGACACACGGTTTAGAGACAGGAGGGCGGAACACACACACGGTATGAGCAGCGAACAGGCAAGGAGGAGCTTTGACAGGACGTTGAATCCAGAGTCACAAGCTGTTCCAAGACGAACGGAAACAAAAAAAACAAGCGAGGAAAGATTGGCGAAACGAGGTTGCAACTTGCAAGTCGTTCGGCACCCACCTTCAACACATCTGCCACCAAAGGCGCCCGCGCTGCATCCTTCCCCCGCTCTCCACCGGCCCATTTACCGACCATCTCTAGCCGCCCCAGCCCTTCTCTCAACCCACCCCCACTGCCCCACCCATCGCCAGCCGTTATACGCAGCCGCTTTGCCCGGGGCTCTTTAAAATCATCCCGCGATCGGCTTCCCCCCACTAGAGCCGCCACTACCCACTCCTCGTGCCCCACCGCATGCCCCATGTCCGGAACAGCATGCGCGGATGCCGGAACGCTTGTCCGCGCAGCAGCACGCGCAGACGCGCCAGCCGCGGGGAGCTCCGCGGCCAGATGCGCGGGGGAGTGCGCAAGCTGAGTTGGGAACACGGTGCGCTCGGGGGGAGCATGCTGCGCGATGGCAAGCGCGGCAGGTGCGGGGGAAGAGAGTGGGGCGGACGGCGGAAAGTGAGCAGCGCGCATGGAACTGTTGGGTAGTGCGGGTTGCGCGCGCGGGAAAAGCCCAAGGGAGTGGAGGTTAGATGCGGATGCGCGGAAATCTCCAGATCCGAGCCCCGCCCACACCTGCTGTTGCTGTTGCTGCTGCTGCGATGCGTGATGCTGCGATACGTGGTGCTGAGCGTCGTTCCGAGTCATATACATCGGGTGCTCCATAGCGCGAATATCGTACACAGGTTGCGGTGCTGCCTGCACCGATGCGAGATCCGCGGTTCCACCACCCGTCCTTAACCCAAACGCACGCCCAGCGCCCATTCCCGGTGCCAGCGCCGCCGGCGCAACAGGAGGTGCCGCTGCTAAAGCGGCGGGCGAGGGGACGTACGGGGATAGGGGGAAAGAATCTCCGCCTCCCCCCTGAAGCAGCTGCGCGAGATATGGATTCTGCACCGCCTGCTGCTGCTGCTGCCGCTGCTGCTGCTGCTGCTGCAGCAGCACCTGAGTTGACTGTTGGAAATGATTCAGAGTGAGCACCTGTTGGGCGTCTCGTCTCCCCAGACCGTCCGTCGCGCCCTTGCTTCCCTCAAGCAGCGCCCTCTGCAGCGCAAGGGCATCGTCGCGAAACCCTGCCTGCTCCGCGCAACGACCCTGACTCCTTCCGCCATCGTCAACCGCATAGCCACTACCGCCGCCCACACGGCCGCCGCCGCCATAGCACCCCCCACCACCGCAAAATCCCCCCCCTCCTCCGTCCCCGCCAAAGCCCAAACCACCCCCCTCACCAGCGAGACCAAAACCAGCCGCCGCCGCCGCCGCCCCCGCGGCCGCCCGCACGTGCTCTTCGCGTTTTTGCTCCCGTGCCCCGCCCCCCGCTAGATCCGCCACCGCCGCAGCCGCCGCGGCAGCCGCAGCAGCGGCAGCCCACACTTCGAGCGGATTGAGCGCGGACGAAGAGTGGAGGGCGGCGGGGAGCCCCGAGCGGAGCGAGTTAAGGAGGGAGGCGGCGAGAGGCGCATGGGCGGGGGACATGTGCAGAGCAGTGGGCTGGGAGCGAATTTGCGGCGGGACTTGCGGCGGGACTTGCGACGGAATTTGCGGCGGTAATTGCGGAGAAGTGAACACAAAGGGCGTGGGAGGAGGTACGCGGGACGAAGAACCATGGGCCGGAGACGCAGCGGCAGTGACGGGGACTGTAGCAGACACGGTACCTGCTAGTCCTCCCCCCCTGTACGCGAGATGTTCAAGTGCTAAGTCGCGAGGAGACGGCGGGAGGGACTGCCGGAGTGACGTGTCCGTAGCGGCAGTAACTACAGCGGGGGGAAATGACTCAGCCGCAGGGAAAGAGACAAGCGGTGGATGGAATCCCCCGAGATTGTCCAGCGCGAGTAGAGATGTTCCATGGGGAAGGCGCGCGGGGGGAGCTGTCGCGGCTGGGGGCGCAGTGAGGGGGAAGTTCAGCGCGGAGGACTTGTGGGGGAACGGCTGAAGGAGCGACGGCGCGGGGGGCGGCGAGAGAGCGAGAGTCACGGGGGCATGAGAGCAGTTGTCCCATCTCGCTAGAGGTGCAGGAGAGGAGACGAAGTGTAGGAAGGGCTGAGCGTACGGCTGTTGGGGAGCGGCCATGGTGTATATGTGCGCGAGGAATCTGAGTGAGAGGATGAGGACGAGTATGGAGAGCAAAAGGAGAGCAAGCGGAGAGCAAGCGGATAGCAGAGAGGAACTGAAATCGAGGAGTGGTCAGGGGAAGAGAGTGAGGAGAAACGGGCCGATAACGTGTTCGGTCTGTCGGAATTCTGGAGTTAATTTGTTGATACATCAGCTCGAGGCGAACAGACGGGAAGTACTACGATGTGGGGAGCTGCTAGCGCAAGATTGCTCTAGAGTGACTGCTCAGACGCGCGAAGCCTTTAGCCATTGCACTGGTGGAGACCCAAGATCAGTGGAAAACAATTCCCCAAGCTGAGGCTCAGTTAGGGTATTTGGGGAGGGTAAGAGGAAGGTTTAGAATTTGGTGCTCCATGAAGTCAAACTGTCCATGTCGCTCGGACGAACCGAAGTAGGGTTGCTCCATTGATGGGGAATGGTAAGGAGTGGAGCAGACGGGAACAGGACGGAACCGAATCTCCATGCCGGAACTGGTGGCACTGATGCTGCTATTCGGTGAAAGAAAAAGCTGGAAGATGCGGACAAGGGAATGAGAGAGGTGGTAGCTGAGTGGGTGAAGGGAAGAATGGGCGGATCCTGTCGCATGGCTGTACATAGGAGGGTTGGGATGGAATGGAATCATGGATGGGCATGATGCATGATGTATGGTGCATGGTCACACATGATGATGATGATGATGATGGGCATCTCGCACCTTGAAACTTCTAATTGACAGCAATGGCGGTTTCCAACAAGGCTTCACATGACGCGAATTTACCTGTCCACCTACAGAGGTTTGGCATGAAGTGTGAAATCTTGAAATCTCCTAGACTGCCCTGACATCCCTCTCCAGCAAGGCGGAATTTGACCAGCACTGTTGCTGATGTCAGAATAGTACATTACAGTGCAGTACTAACAACATTGGGGAACCCGGACATTTGGTCAAATCGAGCTTGCGTTGGCGGGCAATTGGACGAAAGAAGAAAGTTCAACGGTCAGTTTTTAAACCGGTCAAGTACCAGAAAGCGGTTCAGGACCACTTCAATATGTTCAGGACTCCGCTGGCAGACGGGTTTTCGTGCAACTGACGCAACAAACGGAAGAATGGATGTTCTTGCGGGAACCTCAGAAGAACTGGCTTGATACAGTACTGAAACTTGACGGTACCGAATGCGACCTCTAGTTTCTATTTCTCTGACGGACGGCAGGTTCACCTTGCATAGTTGACAAGAGGGGGTGATGGAAGATGGCATGTAAATTCGTGCCAGTCGGACTGCCGAGTGCATGGGGGCCTCTAACAAATGGGCGGTTCACTGGACGTCATGTGTACATGAGGGGAGAACATTTCTGACACCGCACACACAGTACAGAAACTCTTCCGGCACTCTGGATTTCTGAGGGCGCGTCCAGAGTGAGATGTTGACAGATGTCGTCGACATCCGCCGACATCCGAGGTAGTTTCAGGATCGATTTAGAAAGGTTATGGAAGATCACAAAAGGTTTCTAGACCCGTGCCTCGACATCCGGGATGCCGATGGATTTCCTCGGATGTCGATGGGCACTATGGACACGCTGTAACAGACATTACTGAACCTCGGGTTCGCCACTAGCGTGAAGGTGTTGTTGATGCATTTCTGCCTATACGTATTCACCTGTTCCAACTTCGACCCCGTTCTCAAAATGACAGAGAGCTAGAGTGGAAAATTCGGCTTGCCAACTGGTTGCATCCTCTCCTCTCATCTTTTTTTTTTTTTTTTTTTTTGGGTTGCGGAGCAACCTATTGCAATCGATCGGGCTGGTTTTTTTTTCAAGTTTGTGAAATAAAAATTAAATGCTTTTTGTGATGGAAATAAAACATTTTATGTATAATAAAGTCTCATCATGAAATGCTCCGCAACCCTAAGACGATCTCGTCGCCTCTTGTTTTTTTTTTTTTTTGGGGGGGGGGGGGTTGCAGAGCAACCTATTGCAATCGATCGGGCTGTTTTTTTTTTCAAGTTTGTGAAATAAAATGAAATGTTTGTTGTGATGGAAATAAAACATTTTATGTATAATAAAGTCTCATCATGAAATGCTCCGCAACCCTAAGACGATCTCGTCGACTCTTGTTTTTTGGGTTGCGGAGCAACCTATTGCAATCGATCGGGCTGGTTTTTTTTCAAGTTTGTGAAATAAAAATCAAATGTTTGTTGTGATGGAAATAAAACATTTTATGTATTATAAAGTCTCATCATGAAATGCTCCGCAACCCTAAGACGATCTCGTCGCCTTTTTTTTTTTTTTTTTTTTTTTTTTTAAATTATTTCGGGGCCAGCCAAATGGTTACAGCAAGACCATACTACACCTGCTCTACGATATGGCTCTCAGACGAACAGTCCAAATTGCAATTTTCGCCTGATCTGTCACCCCTAAGGTCCCAATTGCAATTCTCGCCTGCTGGTGTCCACTCACGTTCAGTCCCAACCACCAGGTACCGAGCTGAACCGCATCTACCCCGAAATTCATGCCGAAATGTCCGACATTTTGCCCCGGAGTTTACTGTGCATTTTCCGGGCTAATGTTCCATTTGCCGTGGTTTGACATTTCTGGGGAACAAGCCTAAGCCGCAAGAAACAAATTGTCTCGTTTAGCGTAAAACGGGTGTAAACATCTACCGAAACTGTTTCGTTCTTCTGCTGGTGGTGGTGATGTGGGAAACGCGCTTGACATGCATGGGTGCCTGCCATGTACAGCACATGCCACCTCATCGGATGAGCAGAAGCCGATGTTGAGATGTTGCCAAATAAGGGCCAACCCTGCAACACCCTGTGAATCTCCACTGCCGCAGTCCAACGAGCTCTTTCTCTAGTGTGGTGGATTTGTTCATTGGAAGCTTGGTTTGGAGAAAGGCTGACACAAAACTGTTCCTCCTTTGCTGGCTCAACCGTAGCATCGAATCTACACGACTGCCGAGAGAAAAGACGAATGTGTTCCCCAAAAATTCCATCTGGAATTCTGGAAATATGCTTTCTCATAAGGACTGCGGCCAGAGACAAACCAGTGTCAGCCCAACACAGCTTCTTCTCAACATTCCGCACCAGGGATCTCTTGCCGAGCTTCAACCCCAGCTGCTACTGCATCACGACGTCATTCATTCCGATTGGTTGTCGACTACAAGCCACCACCACCGCTCAACAACCTCATCAAATGTTGTGTGTTGGCATTGAATCTGGTGCCCCAAATTCCCAGATTCATGTAAGCGTTTATGTTCTCCACTGTACTACACGTGAAGTCCTTTTCAAGCTTTGTTTTTTCTCGAACGGCTGCTTTAAAGTGGAGAAATTAACTTTCACGGGCGGTTTATGCCAATATAGGGCAGTCTGGTTACATCTTTGGCATTTTCCAGTCTAAAGCGGGTGACTAATATTGTTTTTTCCGTTCCTTTGGCAACAGAGTAAGGTATGAGAACGTCCCGTCTGCACGTTTGGATGTCACCGTATCAGAAAAGGTAACTGTTGCAGATCTTTGTTCTGTGTCGATTGGACCGTTTTCCGTGCGTTTGGACTATTGAAACTGTAAACGGACAAGTAGGATTTCAAAAATGAGCGCTTGACTGGACGTCAGGTGTATTTTGTATTTGTACAAGGACAATGGCCCCTTTTACCCTTTGGCTGAATCCGCCGAGTCTCAAGTGGCGGCTTGCCAGATGCGATTCCGTTTCTGTTGTCCAGAAACGGGCAGGTGACCCCGGGCGATGAAGGCTTCGACGTTCCAGCCAAACAAGGTGACGCCCAATGCTTGCGCCAAAACTGGCGAACAACCAATGGCGTGCCTTTGCGCCAACCTTCTGAAACTTCCTGGTGCCTGCACACACCTTGGGAACAGTTTTACGGAACATACAAACCAAGTGGCAACGGCCTGTTGTGCAACCATACACCAGCGCTTCGTTTGCGTACCTAAGAGTGTTGACGACAGCTAAGCTTAGCTGACGTTAACTACCCGCAAAGCTCGACATCGGAGGGGGACGTCAAACCTTGCGCGAAACCCTACTTTGGCTATGTACAGGGTGTTGAATTCTTCCCAAACAGTGATCGGCATGGAAATTTTTGGCATGGGCAAGGCAACATAGAAAAAAACACTAGCTGACAAAGTGTTACCATATTTACAACATGACATTCGAGCCATGGTGGCCACAATATGCACGTGACGCAGGCGCCCTCACCCCTACTCCCTTCGCGAGCCCCCTCTGCTTTCGCCGTTTTGTATTCGGTGGGCTGTTGGGTCCGACAATGCTTTTGAACATTTTTATTGCCCGCTCGTCTCTAGAGAAATTCACGTTTGACGTCAATCGTGATTACGAGGTTTCGGGAATTACGATTCCTTACTGGGGCTCGCCACAGCGAGTACACGCGAACTGTTCGCGTCCGCAGGCTCGGCACTTGGTTCTCGCGCCAAACCAGCCCCCGTCGACCTATTCGGCCCCAACCTCCCGAATCGCCCCGAACCCATTTTGACCCCGCCACCCTCGGGACTATCGAACCCTTGACTGATCCAACCCTCGACATCCAACATGGTCAACTCGCCCTACATATTGCCTATGTAAGGAATTACGATTCCTTACTTGGTCTCGCCACTGTGAGTACACGCGAACCTCTCGGGTCCGCAGGCTCGGCCCTTGGTTCTCGCGCCAAACCAACCCCCGTCGACCTGTTCGGCCCCAACCTCATCCAGAGTCGCCCCGAACCCATTTTGCTCCCATCACCCTCAGGACTATCGAGCTCTTGACTGGTCCGACTCTCGACATTCAACCCTGGTCAACACACCTATATATTGCTTAGGCCTCATTTCTATCAAGATATTGTTATCACGCTCCCCTATAGTATTCTGTGCTATACTCTGAGTTATAACTCATAACAGCCTAGGCCTCATTATTCTTGGGAACTCTGTAATTACGTTCCCCTATAGTATTCTGCGCTATACTCTGAGTTATAATTCATAACAGCTGGTATCAGAGCTACGTTGCTACCCATTAGGCTTCCGTTAGGGGAGCAGACCCTATCGGGGAAGGGGGCGGAAGGATGCTGATGGCGAGCGGACGTCGCAGAGACTAATTGCACGGGCGTTGCCGATGCCGTCAGATCCTGTCCGATGGACGGTTGGGATTAGTCGGTCCTCCTCTTCCCTGAGCGTAGACAGAATTATTTCCCGTCGAAGAGTGGGCGACGTTTTCGCCGTGTTTTTCGGGCACGTTCGTTAGAGCTTTCATAATTTTCGGGTGTTCGGACGGAGTCTTCGGATTGGCTTCCGAAAAGAGCGAAGGCTTCGTCAGGAGAAGACAAGTGCATGGGAGTCCGCATGCAGCCGGGAAGGTGGTCGCCAGGAGCGTGCGGGGTGACGAAAATGGCGGGATGTACGGCGATGTACGTCTGGTGAGCCATAAAGCTGCAGGATGAACTGTAGCTGTGTCGCGGGTCCCGGCGTTTC